GTGCAAGTTTAAAAACAGAAGCTTGTCTTTAGAGGGCGGGGCGGGAGGAGGTGGGGGGGGGGGAGAGAGAGAGAGAGAGGCAGGCTCAAATATTTATTACTTTGTTTTATGACTTAAGATATCAGAGAGTTTGCCAGGTAATAGCAGTTTTACTGTTTCTTTGGTTGGCATTTCTGATTGCCTCCCTTAAGATTAAATTTTACGGGGTGTTTGTTGCGTCTGTCCTTAAGAAAAATATCTTTTGTGGGTGCCACAAAACACAAATTCTTGGAGAGACACTTATTGTGTCTCTTGACTAGATCATGGCCATCATTATTGATCAATCCTGAGTTCTTACAAGAGCTTAAAAGCAAACATTTTACATAAGGAAATACACATACTTATTAGTACTGTAGTGCTTAGGCGCCCCATTCAGGAATCAGGGCCCCATTGTGCTAGACACCCTGCAAAAAGAAACTAAATATTTTCTTTCATAATACAAATATAAAGTATTTGCAGAGCAGAGCATAAGCTAAATGGAACAGCTGTAGGTTTGTTTAAAATGATGAAAACACAAAGCCAAGATCATCAAGAGGGATCAGCAATTATGGGTGACCAACTTAGGACATGTTAAAGGAACTAGAATTTCAAAAAGGTACTGAATGCCCACTTTCTGAAGTATCTCAGGTTGGATGCTCAAGAACTGGAATATCCAAAATCACTAGTCATTTTGGTCACAAATCTTTGACCAAGATTTTCAAATGTATTTTCTTATTAGTGTTCGCAAGGACAGAGGTTTTAAGGGAGGATATGTGCATGGCACTTTTAAACAAGCAAAACATACTAGCAACAAAGTCCAAAAGGAATTCCTTCATCCTTGTTCTATTTTCATTTCAGAACTTAAATAAATCAACAATAAGTTAATATAACCCATTAGTAGGTGTTTAAATATATGACTGTGTGCATCTCTTTAAACTCACTAAACATTGTTAGGCTAACAATAACTCAAAATAGAAATTTAAACCAAATCACTTTTAGCAATTAACCATTTTGCATTTGACAATTTCACTGTCTCCCATGACTCTTACCATCCCCAATTTCAAATCGGATCTCACTGGGTTAGGGGAGGACACATGACACTTGGGCCCTGTGAAATCATGTAGTGAGTCCGTGAGAGAATATTAAGTTAAATCAAATTTAGGAATTGTCTAAGCCTTTATTCCATCTTTTGAGTTATGGCTTCTGAAATATACCAGATGTGCCCTGTTCATTTAGAATGGGTGTCCTCAGGTCAGTTTCCCAAGACATGTTTCATACAATATTGTGTAAATATTAAACTAGGGATTAGTACAACTATCTATCTCTTATGTACCATGAACATGACAGTTCATGTCTTCTTCAGGGTAAGGAGCTTGCTTGAATTAATCTTTGTAATACAGAGGACATTACATCTAATTCGTAGAAATCTGACAAAGTAGTTGGGGGAGAGGTGGAATGGAAATTTTACAAGGGTATCAGAGCTATTGCCTGTCTGTGTTTATCAAATGCTGAACCATTTAAATACATGCAGTAATTCTGGTTGCTCGATGTATGGTTCAAAAAGTTATTCTCTCTTCAACACAGAGTTTAGAGAATACTGTATTATTAAAGTCTGACTCTGCGCCTACTGAAGTCAATGACAAAACTCACTGATTTCAGTGGTACAGGATCAAACTCTTACCTGGGAAGAACCGTAAGCAAACAGCATAAGCCAGGTTAGGAGACACCCTAGCTGAAGTTAAAGGGTTTTCCCCAATACAGAACTGAAAAGCTGTGTTCACAGTCTTTCAGGTGACCCTACAAGGATTTACCTTATTTTTGATATAAGAGCGAGCTATATATTGCTATTGTTTAAGTGAAAAACAACCATGGTATTTCTTCAATGGAGGCATGTCATTAGATAAAATATTTCTTAGCTCTCTTCAAAAGAAACCCTCTTTATGGCTGATTTACAAGAGCCAACATAAGTACAACAGAATCCATTTACAAAAGAAACCAAACCATAAATACTTATACTCTAAGTATTACAATACTATAAAATAGTTAAAGAAAGAAACTCAGCAAACCAAAACCACTCTTAGTTTAATAATATAAAAACTTCCTCAACTAAGATGAGGAGTTTTGCCATCCTCAAATCCTGTACGGAGAGAAAACACACTTCCATTCATAAGGAAGTTATTCTATTCACCCATTCCCACGGCACCCATTCCCAGATATCTGATCCAAGTTACAACACAGAGCACAATAGCACCTTTGTCTCTAAAGTGTTATCACAATACAGATAGTAATTTATCATAATTGCATACAGAACTCCACAAGCCAACACAGTATTAGTAAACATTTTAAAACTTTCTCCAGTAGACAAATTAACTATTCTTTTGGTTAAAGACTGATACCCAATTTTTTTTTTCATCCTTAAGATCCATAAATACCTCAAAGTAAAACATGCTTTTCAAAATTTTATTCAAAAACATAAAATGACTATTACACCGTGTGTGAGTGTGAGAGAGAGACATAACAGCAACTGGTATTTTAAGATACATTGGGAATTAAAGAGATTTTAAAAAAGAAAACCCTACTCTTTTCAAGCAGAGAATAAGTTGGTATATAATTAACATTAATTTATATTCCAGTAGTTCTCCCCGTGTACTAGGCACTGAACAAAACACTTAGGAAGGCTTGGTTTGTGCCCAATTCAGACAAAGGGTAGAGGAGAGAGACAACACAGAAACGAAATGGGGAAGGTAATGATTAGCCATATCTTGATATTAGCATTTATTATATAAATTACACCCTCACTTCCACTCAACCGTAACATTATTACTTGGTTAATTTGCTATAAGCATCCTGGTTGAACTAGACCTTTCTCGGAGTGATGGGGCAGATTCAGCATAAGAAGGTAGTAGCCCTGGAGACCAATTAGGAAAGACATTTCATGCCAAAGGAGTGGCATAGATGAAAGCATACAGATGACTGTGGGGAGACAGACAAGTGATATATTGAAGCTGGCGTCACTAGTGTGGAAGGAACTGGTGTCAAGTGAAAAGAAAGAAGGATGGATAAGTAGGAAGAGGTAAGGTTATGCAGGGCTTTGAAAGCCAGAGGAGGGATTTAAGGAAATATGGTCACAATGACATACGCTGAGAATGAAATTAGAACCACGTTTAATTCAGATTCTGAACAAATCAGTGTTATACAGTGTTGGAGAGTACATAACCATTACTAAACGCACAACAGATTTATTAGAACAGTCTTGTCTAGGATGCATTCTCTTGCCCTGCAAATGCTCTCAAACGCCGCACTCCCTCGTATGTTGAAATTTAGCCATATCCAGCATGTAGAGTAAATGCTTAGCACATCTTAAACCTTTGTGAGAAAGTTTGCAGCTTTGACTTTTTTTTATTTGCCATAGATTTTTATCATAGTAAAGTGTTTATGGCTTTAATACCTCTTACAGTGGAAAAAACATTCAAGGAGAAAGAGGCAGAGCAGTCACGTAAACTGCTCTGCTGCTTGATTTATTAGACCCGATACCACCTCAAGGGCAGTGTGTTGACGCTAGAGCCCTCTCAACACTGGCTCGGAGATCCACCTTTAGAGAACTGAACATTGTTCTAGCTAAATCTGTATCAAACATACGTTGGCTCCCTGCCTTGCACAGTGCCAAGCTACGTTAGAAACATTTTTAAAAGGCATGGTCAGAGCCTGCTTTTAATATGATTTAAGCAGAGTTTGTGTCTGTTTAGACTGGAAGACCAAATTAGGAAATATGGCACAATAACTAACATTTAGCCAATTTAGACGTCAATATAGTTAGGATCATCTTCTGCATAAGCAAAATTCTTGATAATTTACATGCTCACCACTGACAGCTAAGCACATGGAAGACACTTCAGCCATGTTCACACTAGCCAAGTTTTTCAAGGACTAATGATTTTGAAATATCTTTAAAGAAAGGTTTATTTTTAGAGGATAGGTGCTCAACACTTTTGAAAATCAGACCCCATATTTAAGGTGTCTCAGGTTCAACCCCATAAAATGGAGGCATCCAAAAAAAATCACTGATCACTTTTGAAAAGCTGTGTGTGGGCTTTTAACCCCATCGAAAAGTTTTAAAAGATGATTTTGGGCACCAAGGTTGTTTTTTTTTTTTTTAAATACAAAACCCCCACAGCTATCTATTAATGCAGGTAGACATATCAAGATCACTTTAAAACAGTTGTTGCTAACAAGACTTCAGCTACTGCATAGACAGGGCCTTTAACATTCTTTCTGAATTATGGGACCTCTCTGGAGATGCCACTGAATATGTAATTATTACATATTGTAATGTGTGTAAATGTGTAAACCTGAAATTAGAAGCCTACAACACTTGGTTGAAGGTACAGCCATTGCAAGAATGCCTTAAAGGTTCTAAATGGGTAAACTAGCCAGGAGGCTCTAGTACAAAAACACTTTGCAGTAGTGAACTGAGTAGACAAAGCAAGTTGACCCTTTACTCTGTATTCTTTAACAAAGTAGTCAGCTTGCTGGTCAGAACTTTCTGCTTTAAATGGTGTCAGCATTCAACCCTTTACTTTGCTTTGACTTTTAATTGATAAACACATTGCAACTTGTCAATCTGCATTAGAACTTGACTCATGTAGTAAATAGAATTTACATATCTTATTTAAACATGATTTTAGTGATATTGCATTATGTTTTAACAAAAGTAAAATTTGGAGGAACCCAGATCTTCATCACTATGTAACTTTCAAATATAACTAACTCTCTTGGTCAATCTTGCAGTGAAGAGCATTCTGCTTCACAGGAGAATTAAGAGATGAGGAAGTCTCCAAAGAGAGATTGCCAGAACATTGCACAAAACACAAATATTGCTTTGTTAAGGTTGCAGATCCTTGATTTTTACATGATTTTACACGTCCTTGATTTTTTTTGTTGCAGAGATTCTTCAACATCCTTAGAGGTAGGTCTCTAAAGGGGAGAAAGAGATAGCAGTCCATGCATAGACAAGTCAGACTTGCAGGATGAAGGTGGGAAGTTTGCCCTGCCACAGCTACTTTTTGTAGCTGGATAGCTTCAAGATTTAGAGCTGTCCAGCCAACAACAAATTCATTTAATAAAAATGCAGGAACACTTGCTTTTAACAGGCAGGAAAATCACATTTTACACTTTAGGTTTTTTAACTTGCTCTTTAATCAGACACAGAACAATGCACAATTGTGTCTTTTTAGCCAGAGTTAACAGGGTGCCATCCACAAGTTTAGACATGAGGAGAGGAAACTCCCCTATTCCTTACCCTCCCGCACAACTCTTTAAATCCATACATTTGAGTATTTGCAGACAGTACTAAATGAGGACAATTCCCCCACTAGTCCTGCGTTCCCCCCATACTTTTGGGTTCAATTTATTAGAAAATGTTACAGTATTTCAGCTGTACATAGGGAGTTTATTAGTGTATAAAACTGAAGATCACCCTGGCCTTTACCGATTTCAACTGATGGTTATGTAGTTATCATACAGTTTTCAAAATGCAACAAAATTCTTATGAAAGTATGTTAATTTGTCTTACCAGTATGATGCCGCTTTCCAGTCACCTTATTTGCTCATTAACTATGTTTGCTACACAATCTGTAAATTAAAGTAACAAAACATATCTTTCAGCTTAGGGCTTTTGGGGGGGGGGGGGGGGGGGAGGGAGAGGGGAGGTGAAGAGGGAGGGGAGGGTAAGGATGCATCTCAGAGCCTTCTCCTGAGTAAGACCAGACTACCAAATATCTATCAATCAATGTAAGGAACAGTTTGCTCAGGGTATATTAATCTTATTTTTGATGAAATTACAGTATCAGAACATTTAGGTACCCCTCAGCACCAAGTTGAAAGGCAGATTTGTCTTGTGGGAGTCAGGCTGTCAGAATGCAGTTATTGAATTAACTTCTAATATTAAGAAAAATGAAGGGCTACATTCTAAAGTACTAGTGCAGTACTAGATTATTTTCAGCAGGCAAACAGGGTACCTATAAAAGTTCAGTGGTATACAGATGTCAGAGTGGGTATATTACAATGAAACTTTAGGCCAAAGTGAACATTTACAGAGATACAACTTAATGTCACAGTAAAGAGTGTGGGAGGCTAGCCTGACACAAGTAATTCATTAAAAGAGAAAGTGGACACAGAAAAAGGTTGTATTTGACTTGATATACCAAAAATACTACTTATTTTGAGTGAATTTCAATAGATCAAAGAACGTGTTCAACATGTACCAAGGGTTACTTGGTCTGTCAGAAATAAGAGATTAGTTATCATGGCTGCAGTTTGTTGTAACCAATTTCTCAGCAATTCATAGCATTTCCCCTATGTCTAACCAATTTCAGAAATTTTGTTCTTTGGCAGTACCACCTCAAATATATTTAGGATGCCTACAATATTACAGACCCTCCAGCACAATTCAAATATACCAGTTTTAGATTTCACCCTCCCCCCACACACACACTTTGTGCTCTGAGATTAGAATCCAGTCCATGATACACTTTATGAAGGTTAAATCTATCCTCAAGTGCTTTCATCTAGGGGTTTTAGGTAAAGCTTAAAATTTTCCCTGATAATGTTGGTAAGTCAGGACTGATTTAAGTTTAACTAGCTACATCACTTCCAGTTAGTCATTTGGCTCCAACAGGCTTATTTTAAGTTAGTTGTCAAATAAGTAGATCATTAGAGTTTGATTACTTTACACACTTCTTGAAAAAAGTTGCTACTAAGATAGCCATAGACTTTGAAGGGCGGGGGGTGGGGGTGGGTGAGACATGTGGTTGACTGCATGTGCATTTACAATCTTTCCAATTGAATTTTACAATGAAGAGCAGAGTTACTTTAACTGGATATAGCATTTGTGAACATTATTCAGATAAGTATGTCCAGAAATATTAAATTCTATTGTGTCTCATCTTTGCTAGCCATCTACCAAACTTTAAGGTTCACTTGTCTAACAAGAGTCTCTCCAGTGCATGAATAGAAGGAACAAGTTCCCTTACAGCAAAGGAGACCTGTTTTAAATGGCTTGTAGTACTGACGCTCCCTAATAAACAGAACAAAAAAGGAGGAAGTCCCATGATTCTAATGCAGCTTCTAAGAAGTTTGCTATGCCTCTTGAGTCAAGAAATTAAATTTTAGTAACTGACCTCAAGTAGGCAGAACATTGGAAGGTAAACATAAGCAGTTTCCCTCTTATGTTAGCTTTAGCTCAGCTTATTGTAATGCACATTACTTTCAGTGGAATGAAACTGCTCAAGTTTCTGGCAGGATGGAGAGAATTCCACTTTGTCCTCATTAGGATTTTATAAGGCAGATAATGTGGAAAGTTGAAACAGAACTTCTACAAGCATTTAACCTGTGATATTGTAAAAATCAAAATACTACTTTATTAAATGAGTTATTTTACACAATATGAACATCAGTATAATTACAATTGTAAAAAATGTTTATAACAAGTATGGACTGGTTTTCAGGATTTCCAAATAGGGCACAACTGTACATTTACACAGAATTGTCTTTGCATGAAGCTCAAGAGGGAACAGCATAAAAATATGAATGTTTCTGTAACCCCTTCATTTTTGCTGATCAACAGTTTGTTAGAAAAGCAGCTGCAGATTTGTTATGTAAGGTCTGACTGTAGACGAGTCAATAGGTGCCATGAATTCACCTATAAAAAAAAACAAGAATTCAGTTAAACTGAACTGTTGCACAACACTGCTCTAACTACTGCTTAGCTTCCAATCAATGAAAAATTATACTGAATTACGAACCAAAGGCTTTTTGATTATAGGGTTTTTCTGGCATTGGTTTAGCTACCCTGCAAATATTCTCAAAAGATTAGTGTCTTCATAAATAATTTCTCTACCCATGCCAAACAGTATATTTTTGTATGTTGTGTAACAAAGCCTAAATATTTGGTCATGTGCTAAACATCTCTAAACTTCATTAAGTCTTCTATGGCAAGAAGCAAATAAAGTATCCTTTGAAAAAGTATTTATAATAATTTGTGCTTCTAAGCTAAATACCTGAATAATACTTTGCATTCATTAGTTTGTATCAACCCCATGGGCAAGCCTCTCACCTAGGGTTGTATTTTTTCCTTTAAGTTAGTATCAGTGGTCCAATCAAGGGCCAGGCCTCCTGCTGCTGCAGTAGTAATGATTAAATTGCTTCTCATGCTTAGTGATCTGAGGATGTGTTTTTAGTTTCAAGCTAACTTTCACTTTGGAGAAAATGAAGTAATTCTCAGATAGCCAGTGAACAAGGCTAATTCATTATGATGATAAACAGTACAACTCAGATTTAGTTTTAAAGAAGTATATGTAATGACCTGTAAACAATTTTATCCCTGAACATCAGCCAATTCTGGAGGAAGTGGAGTCTTAGGATGCTTGCTCTCAAAGTGCTGTTTGAAGGTCTTGGGGTCCGGCATTTGTGTCTGATTTAAAAAAAAAAATCATCTTTATGCATGGCAGAAGAGTGTTAGGTAAAATCTTTACACTGAACTGTTCTCCCCATTTCAAACCTTAATTTTCTTCACCAAGGTCAACACAGGGCTTGACTTTTCTCATTAATGAATGCAACATATGTTTATATCACCAATCTTAGTGCCATAGTACTTCCAGCAGACAGGCTACCAAGATGCTATTGTGCATTACTATGCTAGTTTTAGAGAATCTCTGGCTCTATATTAACTACAATCCTCTGCTTTTTAACTCCTGTTTTCAGCACATATGTGATAATGCTTTGTTTTATGCCACCTGCCAAAAATGCACTGAAAGATATGTGCTCATTTTTATTAGAAACCTCCTTGCAGAAGTCAAGTTTATTCAATCTAGGATTTTACAAATAAATTAGATGGGAAGCCTACTCCCTTCAAAACTCAGCCAAAGGATAAATATCTATTTTGTATAGAACTACGAAGCCAATTCATTTTTATTATAGCCTCACTGGTACAGAGGCCCAAAGAGTTATTTGTAGTCTCTCAACCCATTGTTTCTAGAAATGTGTAGACTGCAACTTCTGATTGCATTAGTAGGATAGCTGGCTTATTTTGCAGAAAAGAATGGGGGTGCATGCATTTGAGTGAGCAGTCCTCCATTGGGAAGCTTTCCATTACAGTTTATTACAAGTGACAGGTCTGTTCTAGGACTGGCCCTTTAAATGAATGCACTCTATAAGAGGAAAGGCAGGCTTCAGGAGAGTCAGTCAGGAGGAAAGTCAGAATCTGATTAGGTGCTTAAATTTCGGTTCTCTTGTCAAGACAATTACTCTGGCAGAAATATATAACTATTTATTAAACCCTGGCTACAGCTCTTAGCATCATGCTCAACAGTATCAGCTACCAATGATGGCAAGGCAGGAGCATCATCTTTTCATTTAAAGATGAAGTAAAATACACAACAGAAAAGTGATCTCAGACCTCTAGAGAAGCCTTGTACTATATACCAACTGCAAACATGAAAACTTGCAATTAAGCAGTCTGGAACCACTGGTCTACAAGGTGCTGATCTTTCATGTAGCCACAGGAAGCCATCTTCCCTCTTTCTAAGTTGTCTAGGTAGCTAAGGTTATATCTACAGCCCAAAGTAATAGGGTTTCATATTATATGCACATAAACTACAAATATGCCTGGAGCAACTAGTCAGTTAACCCACTATTACCACTGAAATATTTATGTTGTGGTTTCCACAACTTCTTCCTATAAAAGTCCTACTCTAAGCTGGAAGAGTTGCCCACTGTAATGCTTTGTGTCTGCTCCCCCTTACCCTACAGACAGTGCAGGTATATATTAAGGCAGCCTTGGCTGCAGCCTTCTGATCATGTCCTTGTTTCTTTTTCTGTCCAGCTTGCTTTTTGGCATTTTTCTGCTGCGACTGAATCTTCTGCTGTCCACGAGCCATATCTACAAACAAAGAAGGATGTTTAGTCTAAGTGAGAAAGAGACTGTTGTGGCTACCAACTCAGAAGGTATCCTTATGAGCAGGGAGTCATATGCTCTCTCCATATGGCCTACTCAATTCACATGAGGCAGACAAGTGGACATCTCTGTTCAGGTTCCTTGCATAGATACCTCTGTACTTTTTAAATGAAAAGTGGTTAGTAGGTTCCATTCTAAAGCTTCCTCCTAAATGACACTTCAAAGCCCATCTTTTAGAGAGGTATTTTCAGTGGATAAACAGTAAAACCAATTTGTTTCCTTTTATATGCATTTATTTTCTAATTCCCGCCCAGGTAAAGAAATTCTGGTTTAAAGATCTCACTTTGGTTTAATCAATTGATTTTCTAAGCAATAAAGCCCTAAACATTTCCAAATGAAACCTGAATTGGGCCATAGGTGTCAAGGCAGTGATTACTGAGCTGTTGTCCATGGATCACTGGTTTCTATGGAGCACTTGCTAGGGGTCTGTGGAAAGCTGGGTAAATGTTGCTACCTCTCCCTAATGCAAGCTGTTTTACAGGTGTCCAGGCTCTTCCTTACAAGGAGCACAGGACTATAAAATCAGATCCAAGGGAGCCAGGCTAGCTGCCTCCATCAGAAGCCACTACTACATATAGAACAACAAGAGGAGGAGACAGGAGCTGCCCTCAGGGACTGAAGTCATCCACCAGCAGGGAAAGGATGTCTATGAGACATGGGAATAGGATTCATGGACAGTCTGTGTAGTGGAGCAGGGAATGTTTCATGGAAAACTTGCTTCCAAATTTCTACTCTAGCTGCTAATTCCTCATCTAAAGTTTTGTTTTTTTGTTTTTAAATCTGACGGTTATTTGTATTGCACAGGTACCTGGAAACCCACTCCCATAGTGCTAGTTACTATATGAATATAAAAAGACAGTCCCTGCCCTAAAGTTTTTACAGTCCATGTTATTCTATAGCTACCAACTGTAAAAAAGGATTATGAAGTCAGAAGGTGAACGAAAAAAGCATGAAGTGAAAATTCCATGCAAGTTTTCTTACAAAGAAGATACAGAAATGCAATAGGTTTATGTTCAACAACTTCCATGAAACAGATTTTTGTTTAAAAATCTAAGGAGCTTGTTTTAACTATTTCTGTACCAAAACTATTTAAAGAAAAGCTACAGTGATTTTATTGCAACAAACAAACACTATATTAGCAATGAGTTTTCAGGATGTTAGAAATACCTGTCACAGTTTCACTATTAATGGTTTCAATTGAAGCTAACATTACACCCATACATGCTATACTCCTGGGGGAATTCTGTGCCACTCATGTCCCCTACAGAAAAAAAGATTTTGACAGTGAAGCAAAGGGAAGCCCCAAGAGCAGTCATGCACCCCTCCCCAGAACTGTGGGCATGTCATTTTGGGTGCCCAGAGCAGCCAGCAGTGAAGTAAATCACCACAGCATGTGTGTGGGGTGGGGTAGCTAGGGACACCCTGGCCAGTGGCTCCTACCCTGTGCTGGGCTCAGCTGCTAGTCCCGACTGGGCAAGGACTGGATTTTCTCTTTGCCTGCAAGGAGCGGACGGGGCCAGGTCAGACCCACCCTCAGAAACCTCCCCATGGCTGCAGGAAGCTCCGCACTGCCCTTCCCCTGCTCCCCCATCTGCCCAGAGCCCCCATACCCAGACCCTCCCTCCCCCCCGAAGCCTCACCCCCTGCATCCCCCCACACACCCAGAACCTCTGGCACCTGAACCCTCTCCCCCACCTCCTACCCCCAGCATCCTGAGGTTCCCCTCGCTGAGACCCACCCCTGCACCCAGACCCTCCCACTGAGCTGCCCACACGCAGATTGTCCCACCTAGAACCCTCTCACCCCACACCAAGTCCCTCCACACTTGGAACCTACTGGACAGAGCCTGCCTGCCCATACCTGGTGTAGAAGGGCAGGGCCCGAGGGTGTTTCTGGGACAGATCCAGCCCTTGCACTGTGTCAGGGTTGGGCTGCAGCCCCACTGCCAAGTGAAGGGTGATCTCCCACCTCCATGCAGCCAGTGGCCTGTGCCCCCCACTGCCATGATGGAACCTCCACATTTATTGACAAATAAAATTAAGAATTTTAAAATAGTGTGTGAGAAATTTTAAATGTTTTGGTGCAGAATTCCCTCAGGAGGAATCCCAGCAAGGACCTCAGACTATTTATGTAGAGAACACTGAAGAATGTGCACTTCCTGTTTCAAAAGCAAGGGAGATTAAACATTCAGTTAACTATAAAAATCTTTTAAATTAACTAGGAAATTATAGAAGACTTCACTAATCTAAATTCTGCTCTATACTAGTGTCAAGATAGTTTTAAAACAAAGGATAGGAAGAGACTAAAATTCCTTTTAGACAAAAACATCCAGATGCGGGAAACAGTGGGTTTTAGTAATCTCAATTATTTCTCCTAACAGCTGCACCCCAATTATAAAGTGTTACAATATGTTTTAGTTAGTGCCTTGATATTAGTTTGCTAAAAAAGCCACTAGACAAGCACACACTGACTCATTATATTGAGCTTGCCCATAAGTATGGAGATGTTACTTTTGTCTAGTTAACTAAAAAAAGCATTTTTTTGAAAATTATGGGGCTTTCAGATTTGGCCCAGCCAGACTTTTAGTTTTAAAGTACTGTAAATTACACAATGTAATTCCAATATGCGGAATTTGAACATTAAGTGTAGTGGCAAGCTAAATATTTCTAACTCTCTTGGAATACTACAATGCTGTCACTTTCAGAGTTTGCTTAAAACAATTACATTCAGCCACAACAAATCCAATTCCACATGTCAGAGTTAAAGTAACATACTATGATAACTTTCCTTTTTTTCTTAAGCACAGAAACACCCTTCAAGAACCTAGCAAACTGACCCAAAACCTTGATTTAATACAGACTTGCATGACAGGACATACAAGAAACTTTAAAAAGCTTGTTAGAGATTCTTAACATTAAAGCCGTCCCAGTTAAGTTAGAAGATACAAATGCTAAATAGCACAACTCAGTTGACGCCCATGGTATTGCAATACACCTCATACGAAGTTGTTTTCGTGTAAAACAACAGGGATTACAAGTCACCAAAACCGAAAAGTCAAACCAGAAGCAGAATGTTCATATCCTGAGAGTGGACAGGAGCAGCTGCTTCCTCTGAAACTTTCAGAGGCTACAAATAGGTTAAAATTGTCCAGTTTCGTTTCCAGCAAGATCGCCAAGGGCCCTAGGCTCAAACCCTTTGCGATGAAGCAGAACCAACCTCAGGCAGCAGCCTGGTTGGAGACGGAGAATTCAGTCCGGCTCGGAGCACAGCGTACAAGCACCTCAACCCCTTCCGGGTGACCCTGAAGGGTCGAGGGCCGGGGAGAAGCCAGCGGCTGCCGGGCTCCAAGCAGCGAGCGCAGCCCCCCGGGACGGGGCTGCAAGGGACAAGCCGGGAGGGGAGCCCGTGGGCACAGGGACCACGCTGCGCTCGGCCGCGCTCCCTGACCGCGGGGCCCAGGCGGGCAGGGACCGGGAGCGCGGAGTCCACCTGCAGGGCCAGGTTTCGACACCGTCCAGCCACCGTGAACGCAGCGTGCGGGCACCGCCGCTTTCCTCTCCCGGGAGAGGCTCCCCCCCAGTTCCCCAAACAGGCCAAGGGCCGCCGCCGCCTTCCCCAGCCCTCAGGGCCCGGCCAGGCCTGGCACCGCCCGGGGAATACCCCCCAGACACCACCTCAGGCCTCGGCCTCCCGGCAGAGAGCGACCGCGGCCACCCGCCCCCGCCAGGCTCAGGCCCCGGCCCGAGGAGACGCCCTCACCCCAGGGCCGGGGCCAGCGCCCGGCCCGGCCCGCTCGCCGCCTGCGGGCCTCCCCGGCCCTCGTGCCCGGGGGAAGGGTCCGGCTCCCACCGACAGCAGCGCCCTGCCCAGCCAGGTCCCCGCTTACCCGGACTAGCCAGCCGTGCGCGAGCGAGCGAGCAGGCGGGTGGAGAAGGCTCCGTGCGGCCCCGCAGCAGCCGCGGCCGCCGCCTGCCCAAGAGGAGGATGGAGGAGTCAGCGCCCCGCCAACTGCGCACGCGCGCCGCGCCGCCGCCACCTCCTCTCCCCCACGCCGGCAGGTCCCGGCCGCCCCGATCCCGCCGGCCAATGGCGGCGCCGCCCTCTTACATAACGCAGGGAAGGGAGTGGGGCCTCCACAGGAACAGGGGGCGGCGCCGCAGAACCTCCCGCGGTGCCCGGATGCGGCAGCCTTCCGCCCCCGGGAGGAGCCGGGGCCATCTGCCTCTGCCCATTCCCCCATTGGCTCACCGTGGGCGTGGGGAGAAATCCCCCCGCTGACGGGCGGGCAGGGCCGCAGAGCGTCCCGCCTGGGCGTGCGGGGAGTGGGCCTGACAAGCCCGCCCCTCTGGGCGTTCATTGAGAAAATGGGGGCGTCGGGGCCTGGCCTCCCGTCGGGTGTTTGAGGGAGTGAGTGAGGGGAGAGCCCTCTGCCGAGTCACGTGGGGACGGAGTCGGGGGTCGGTTCCCCGGCCCTAAACTTTCAACCACCGACTAACCCCCCCACATAATCCGCGATGAGAACGGGACACAAGGAAGGGAATTTCTGAGCATGGGAACCCTCCTAACGCGAGCCCCTGTTCCCGCTCCTGCTGCGCTACCATATCCTCCGTCCCCTTTGTCAGCTGTCCGCGTGCAGATTGTTGAGCTCAAACCGCCCTTAGCAGCGCTTTAAATAGAGGCCACTTCATTTCCCCATCAAGACATACTGGCTGCATCTACATTAAGGATTTGAGGGAGATCTCCGCAGCTCCACTAGCGCTGGTTTGACAGGCACTGGTGTCGTGGTCTATTGTGCGCTGCCGGTAAACTGAGTCAGGCGCACAGAGGGATCCCTTAAAGCACAAAGACATTGGGACTCAAGGATTAAGCTACCCCTTTCACCTAGTGCCTGTCTCGCTAATAGCCCCTGCCAAACCAGTAAGTCAATTGCGAATGAAACCAGAGTTGCCCGGAGACTCTGACAAAGCAGAAGAGCCATAAATTATAGTTTCAGAGTAACAGCCGGGTTAGTCTGTATCCGCAAAAAGAAAAGGAGGACTTGTGGCACCTTAGAGACCAACCAATTTATCTGAGCATAAGCTTTCGTGAGCTGTAGCTCAAATAAATTGGTTGGTCTCTAAGGTGCCATAAATTATAGTGCTCAGACTCCAGTATGGATTAGGGCTCCTCTGTGCTACCACTGTACAAACACAGATAAACACTCCTGAGGGCATCCCGTGCCAAAACAATTAAAAATTATGCACGTGATATTTTAAAATTCTGCAAGTTTTATTTGTCAAATAAATGTGGAGGCTGGGAAACACGGCCAGTGAGAGCTACCGGGGAGGTGCATGCGGGTGGAGACAGTGCACGCAGTGCAGAGCTGCCTGGCCTGCCTCCGCCCAGAGCCAAAGAACATGTTGCTACTTCCGGGAGCTGCCTGAGATAAGCCCTGCCTGGAGCCTGCTCCCTGCACCTCCTCCCACACCCCAATCCCCTGCCCCAGCCTTGACTTCCCTCCTGCACCCAAACTCCATCCCAGAGCCTGCACCCCTGCCCCAGTCCCTTCCCACACCCAAACTCCCTCCCAGAGCCTGCACCCCACACCCCAACCCTGTGCCCGAGCCCCCTCCCACACCCTGAACCCCTCATTTCTGGCTACACCTTGGAACCTGCACTCTCAGCCCAGAGCCCATACCCCCTCCCACACCGCAACCTCCTGCCCCAGTCTGGAGCCCCTTCCCACAGTCCGAACCCCTTGGCTCCACCGCCCAGCCTAGAGCCCCCTCGTGCACCCCAAACCCCTCATCCCTGGCCCCACCCTGGAACCTGCACCCCCAGCCCAGAACCTGTACCCTCTCTTGTACCCCAACCCCCTGCACCCTGAACCCCTCATTTCTGGCCTACCCTGGAGCCCTCACCCCCTGCCGTACCCCAACACCTTGCCCCAGCCCAGTGAAAATGAACGAATGAGTGAGGGTGGGGGAGAACGAGCGACGGGGGTAGGGTAGGGCAGGGGCAGGGTCTTGGAGAAGGGTGTTCGGTTCTGTGTGATTAGAAAGTTGGCAACCCTAAGCCATGCAAATATTGGGCTTGATGTAGAAACTACTGGGGATAGTTCTATGGCTGGCATTATGCAGGGGGTCATGCTAGATGATCATAATGGTCCTTTCTGAGCTGAAAGCTTATGAACATTTCAGTGTATGTTCTTGTAGCTGCTAGTTTTAATGGGGCTCCTCAAGTGTGACAGGCTCAGCAGTTGTAGGGGAGCCTTGTGGCATAATTCTCATACTTAACAAGTGTTTAAGTAGAACTGGGGCCTGGATGCAACAACATCCCTGATGGCAGAACATAAGGTATGTCATCAGCAAAAGGCATTTCCAGTCTAACATGCTTGGTTTTGACTGATTACTTTCGTCAAAAGTGGCAACACCAAAACACTATACCATGGCAACACTCCAAACATTATGTAATTATCACGGGTGTACTCATTACTTAGTGTCTAGGCACTGAACATCATAACTGGAAATTTCAACCACTCTCTTCAGGTTCTGCTGCTGTTCGGTTTCACTTAATTAGGGCTCTATAGGAGCCCACCTTTGCACTGCAGTTCATGAACTTGGAGCCCCAAAGTCCTATTATGCTAGTATCTCTGACTATGCTAACAAGGTGGGGTTCTCAGTAAGCAGAAGGTGATCATGAAGCAAGTGTGTTACTGACTCACCACTGGAGGTGGCTTATTGCCCCACCCAGAGGTGTGGGAGTGGCTATCTATGGAAATGATTAAAGCAGTGGACTGAACTATCCTAAAGTAATTAACCCTAAGATCAACCAAGCCTACAGCAAGTTTCATATGACTGCGCAGCGTGGATTTCTTAGTTAATAAAACTAAACCCCAGCAAGGATAGGGGGTGGTGGTGAGTTTTTGGCTCTCTGGGCTTTGTTTTAGAGCAGATTGGGAAAGGCACCTACTCACCTGAGGTAGTGGGGATGATTATGTAACAACGGTAAAGAATTACGAAGTCCCAATCAGTTGTGGGGCTAGCTGCACCTCTGTTCCTTTTCTAGGCACTCAGCTCAGGTGCCAGGCCTTTTGCCCTTATTGTAAGATTTCACCCTGAGTCTCTTCCACTCCTGGATCAGGTGCTGGTATGCTGCCCCGCTACACCAACTGCCTGTCATTCTGCAGGGACAATAAGATTTCAGGCACCTGTTTCTTTGCTTTAGGAACTGGTGCCCAGTGAGACTCACAACCAGCCTTCTTAAAGGTTGTAGTTAGCAGTTAGAACAAAGCATTAGAGAGCTTTAAAACAGACTGTGTACACACACAAAATCTCATCTAACCTTGTGCTTCACAGCAAGCTACGTTAGACAGTCTTTCCTCTAAATTGCTGGAACGGAACTCAACTAACTTAGTCTCCTAGCAAAAGCTCAGTGTGACACAGACAGGTATATCACCCCTGTGTCTGACCATCTTAATATTTCACTGAAGGGCAGGCGTCATATGGGGTCTCTGCCAAAAGATAAGAACTAGCTCATCATCATGGTGTATGAGAAGCATAGTTGTATGGGAAGCAATTTAAGTTATGTAGGATATTCTGCTGGAAGTGAAATCTGTCACCTGAGGGCTGACCCAATCAATGTGAGAACAGACATCTGTTGACTGAGCCAGTTTGTTGACAGTCTGGGCCAGATGCAGGCTTCGGCATTTATAAAGACAAAAGAACCCCCCTAAGCCTCTGAATAGGGGACTCCTGGCTGAAGGACAATAGTCCCTCTCTGTAAAAGGTTGAGGTGGCCATCCATAACAGAAGAGTGACTCTTCTGGTGAGGATTGTCTCATGAATGGTGGATCCCAGCTTCCTCAAGTGGACAAGTGCTGTTTAGAACTGATTTAGGTGAGATACTTATTGACAAATCACTCTCCTGCTTAAGAGAGTATAGGCTACAGCTTTATTTTACCTGGAAACTTATATTTCCAAATTATTTTACTTGTCTTTATTTTGAATTTCTATCTCAAGCTCTGCTAAACTTTAATTTGGTTTTACTATGGATATGTCTGAATGCCTTGTGCTAAGTAGTGTTAAACTGAGTTAACACTACAGAAGTAATTTCCCCTCCCTTGCATAATGACAGGTTTCAGAGTAGCAGCTGTGTTAGTCTGTATTCACAAAAAGAAAAGGAGTACTTGTAGCACCTTAGAGACTAACAAAAAATTTGTTAGTCTCTAAGGTGCCATAAGTACTCCTTTTCTTTTTTCCCCTCCTTTGTTATTCACCCCTTCTTGTCCGCTGTTGAGAACAGGGCACTTCCACCTTAATTGAATTGGCTCGTTAGCACTGACCCCCCACTTGGTAAGGCAACTCCCATCTTTTCATGTGCTATAATATATATTCTTACTGTATTTTTCACTCCATGTATCTGATGAAGTGGGTTTAGCCCATGAAAGCTTATGCCCAAATAAATTTGTTAGCCTTGAAGGTGCCACGAGGACTCCTCATTATTTTTGCTGATACAGACTAACAAAGCTACAACTCTGAAACCTGAGATAGAACTGGGGCTGCACTGCTTCTGTGGAGACAGCAGATTGGTGCGTATGGTAGGTATGCAGAAGATAGCAGCTTGGGTACATGAGTGACAGAGTAGGCTAAGTAAATTGGTAGCCTATAGAGGGAATGAGTGGGGCTTGTGGAGCCTAGAGTGGGGGGTTGTGTTGCCAGCAGCTAGGGAGCTTTTTCTGGGTGGGGCCGATGGGCCTTTCTCTTGGTGTGAGCAGGTAGTAGCAATTCACCCCGACAGCTTTGGTTTAAACTTGGAGAGTGGTCAGTTTAGATGAGCTATTACCAGCAGGAGAGTGAGTTTGTGTGTGTATGGGGGTGGGGGGGAAGTGAGAAAACCTGGATCTATGCAGGAAATAGCCCGACTTGATTATGTAAAGAGTTGTCACTTTGGATGGGCTAGCACCAGCAGGAGAGTGAATTTGTGTGGGGGGGTGGAGGGTGAGGAAAACCTGGATTTGTGCTGGAAATGGCCCACCTGTTGATCACTTTAGATAAGCTATTACCAGCAGGACAGTGGGGTGGGAGGAGGTATTGTTTCATATTCTCTGTGTGTATATAAAGTCTGCTGCAGTTTCCACGGTACACATCTGATGAAGTGAGCTGTGGCTCACGAAAGCTCATGCTCAAATAAATTGGTTAGTCTCTAAGGTGCCACAAGTACTCCTTTTCTTTTTACTGTAGCATAGGTAGGTACAGCTAGTCCAGGTACAATCTAGCAAGCATGAGTAACAATAGTTG